CTCTGCGGGAGATTCCCGCATCCGGCCGGCGATGCCGGGCGTCCTGAACCTTCCTGCCTGGTCCAGCATCGCACCTCCTCCAGCCGGTCCCCGGGCCCCAGATAGTCCTCGGCGGAGCCAGCAGCCCTCGCGCACGACTCTCTCCCCATTCCTGCCCCTGGCTGGGTTCTTGGGTGGGTCCCAGATCGCTGCGTGCTTCCCTGTCTTTCTTCCTGCACCTGTTGCTGATCCAGGTGACTTATATTCTTTGGACCATCTCGGATCGCCAGGCAAGAGAAAAATAATAACAAAAGGGTGTGTGGAAAGATAATGTGGACTGATAGTATGGATCCATAGCTCCGTGTTCCCCTCCCCCCTTTAAAAACCCATCAGGCGACACTCCCGTTGGATTGATTCCTCTGCAGTCGCTGCCCTTCTGTTGTGTGCACTTCTTTCTTTCCCAAATGGTAGGGCCCGGCGCTCTCCTTTTTAGGTCAGCGGGACTATGCCCATTTTCATAATAACTCATACTTCTGCGAGGCTGCCTGTTTTTCATTTGGGGGGTATTTTCTTCCCAACTGCTTCGTGACGTATTGAGAGTGGCTGTGGTTGCCTTTCAGATTGCCATTCCCAATAACGTGAAGCTGAAATGTGTATCTTGGAACAAGGACCAAGGATTCATAGCCTGTGGTGGTGAAGATGGATTACTGAAAGTTTTGAAATTAGAGACACAGACAGGTAAATGAGTGCAAGCCCTAATGTTTAAACTTGATGGAAAATTGGCTCATTCGTGTGAGAGCTCATGGTACTGTCAGGATGCAATTTCATTTTTTGTAAAAGGAAAAAAAACCCCACAAAGCCCAAACATTTCGTGATGTTTTTCTAGAGTATTTTTGCAATAAAGTTGAGAGAATATCGAAAGTAAACGTCAGATGGCTTTTGCTGAAGTATTGATGGAAAGTGACAAAGAATGAAGAATGAAAACTAAGTCACTATGTTGTCTGTTTTGTGTCTTTTTATTGTGTTATATTATTAAGAGTCTAATAAAAATGATTGCCAATCAGCATTTCAGTAAGGTCATGGAATCTTACATTTTGACAGATTCTTTATAGGCCTGTGTCATCCTGTTTGCTTGTCGGATGTGTTAATGATTATGCTCCCAGCTTTCAAGAACAGAAAATGTAATTAAAAAAAACATTTTTATTAATAAGTCTCTTGTGTTTACAGTTTACAGCTTGATTGCTCTTTTTCTAGTTCTCTGGAATCATAGCAAACAGTTTCCCCTGTGCTTAGCATTCCTAGTGCTGTTCTAGAGTGGAGATCTAGACAATCCCCAATTAAAATTGGAGCTCTAGATAAGGAGATTGCAGTTGGACTCTCAGCTCTGCCATGAGACTACTGAATGACATTCAGCGAGTTGCTTTAGTTCACTCTTTTGTACAATGAGAAGTTGAACTAAATTACATTTTGGATTCCTGACAAGCATTGCTTCTCAAACTGTATCAGGCATAAGAATCATCTAAGATGTTGTTAAAATGGATTTCTGGGCTCTGAGAATTTGCATTTCTAGTAGTACTGGTAATGCTGGTTCTCAGAGCACCCTTTGAGTAGCATTGCTTTACAGCTTTGAACGTGGTATTTATAACTATTTATCGAGCACTTCCTATGAATGGGGTGTTTAACCTTTACTATCTCATTTGACCTCACAATAATCTTGAGAGGTAGGTATTCCAGATAAGAAAACTGAGGTTCTGATCAGTTAACAACTTGCCCAAGGTCACACAGCCGGTAAAAATCCCAGAAACTAAGTTTGTCTCACTTTCAAGCCCTTGTTTTTAACCAGTACACACAAGTGCTCACGAACAGCCTAAGCAAAGAGAATAATTGTTTCAATGCGCTAGATTAATTATATGACATAAAAGGCAGGTTCGGAAGGTAGGTACTTATGAACTGATTAGATTTTGGCTTCTGATATTTAGTAATTTAATCTCCCAGTGTTTTAGTTTTCTTAACTGTCTTAAAATAATTTTCTCTGTTGCGTTTCTCAAATACGTATATGCACATATATATATGTTTATATACATTTTTTATTTTGCTTAACCTATGTAGCAAGTTTTAGCTACATTAAGAAAATGCATTTGTTATGTTTAACATTGCAGGCTTTTCAAGAAAAAAAAATTACTATTTTTCCTGCTCTGCATTTTGACAAAGTGGGCTTAGAATATAGTCTTTGAAATTAATGAGCAAGGTGGAAAATGGATTCTTGAGAGGTTTGGAAAATGGAGTAAATTATTTGTTTTGGAACTTAATAATGAGTGTAAATCATTTGCAAGAGATAAATATGAGCAATGTGGCTGGAAAATTCTAATGAGAGCAGTGTATTTAATAATCAGTGTGCTGCAGCAGATCCCTCCAGTAATAATCACCAGATGTTTTATGCCTCCTACATATCAAGCCCTGGGCTGTGGTAAAGAGGTGACATTGTAAGTGCTGTTTTGAAGCTTCTTTACAAGATAGCTAAGTTATTATCATTCATCAATATAGTACAACAATCCTCTACATCAATAAAATGTCTTCTACGGCATCATTTTCAATGACTGTTTAATATTCTGTTATATTGGTATATAATAATTTCCTTAACCAGTTCTAGTGTTGGACATTTAGATGTCTCCACATTTTTACTATTAAAACTGCAATTTCTGTGCGTCTGGATCTTTGCATGGACCTTTACTTACTTTCTAGGAGAAATCTCTAGAAATAGAATTCAGTGGATCAAAGGTCTTGCACATTTATAAAGGTTCTTAACCTACCCTCCAGAAAGTTTGCACGGCTCTGCCTTCTCAGTAACGGCATTCCAGGATCCTCTGCCTTGCCTTAGAAGGAAAGGAACTAGAACGAGATTTTCCTCACCTTTTTCTATCAGGTTAGGATGGGGAGGTGAGTAACCCTTTTTCTCCCATAGGCCAGCCTACCCACGTTTTGCTGGTGGCCGTCCCCGCTCACCTTCTCGGGGAACCTCATCACTAATTAATCTGCTGTCTCCCCTTTCAGCATCCGTCTTCTTTCTCTCTCCTTTCTCTCTCTCACCGGCGACTTTCATGTTCCAAATCTAATGGACAACTTTTTTGGGTTTTTATCAGCATTCGACCTTTCCTTCTGCTTTGAGCCATTTATGTTTCAAGAGAAAAGGAGAATTTAAATGTTTTAAATTATTGCTATATTTATACATATTACTTTCCCCACCCTTTCCTCTGTGGTAAGTTCTCAGTCTCTTTCCCAGATCCTCCTTCTCTTCTAACTGTTGGAATCCTGACAGCGGGGCCCTGGGCTCCCTCCTCATTTCACATGCTCTCTGAGCTCAGTCTTGTGTTCTCGTGCCACCTCTGGGGTGATGCTTCTTGAGTGGTGTCTCAGCCCAGTCCTGACTTTCAGACTCAGACGTCTCCACTGGAATCTTTCATAGGCATCTCATACTCACTGTGTTTCAAACTGAACTGATCTTCGTCCACATCTTCCTTCACTTCTCTTCATTTCAGTGAACATCTTAATTTTACCCATTTGCTCAAACTAGAATCCTCTTCTCTTCCCCCCTTGACATTAGCTTCCTCGGCTACCCTATTGCTTCTATCCAAAGTGTATCTGAATCTCTCCTTTCTCTGTCTCCCCTGCCACCTCTCCAGCAGCAGCCACTGTCATCCCTCACCCAGACAGCTTAGGAGAATCAGTTTCCCTCCCTCCATGGTCTCTTGCCTCCTTCTAGTCTATTCTTCACACTCCAGCCAGTATGATCTTTTTTTAAAAAAGGAACCCGATCGTGTCATTTGTCTGGTAAAAAGTCTCTAAAGGGAAGCTGGCCTTGGCCAGACTGGCTTGTGGTGAGGTTTGAGGGTAATAGCCCTGACTAGGGTTGAAATGGCATCTCTTGCTTTTCCTGCCACTGCTGTTGAGGCTTCCATCCACTCATTGAGAGGAGATATCTCCTTAAAGAAAACATTTGTATAAGGGAAAAAGTATTCTAGGACCATGCAAGCCAACCGTAGCCATCTGCACTGTCCTCCGGGAGCTGCAGGCAGAATGCCTCAGGCTTCCGGTGTGCCCGAGCAATGAGAGCCACAGGAGGAAGTCCTTGCTTTCTTCTAGAGATGTTCTTATCCAGACCAATTTCATATCTAAAGGATGTGCTGACAATCTACATACATCCTTGTACGTGGATGTGTACAGGGTCACCTGAAGTCATTCACACAGAGGAGCATGGCAGCCGGGTGATCCTGCCTGTTCTCAGTCTGGAGAACATGGTAGCAGCCCCTTCTCAGAATTCCAGTATCTCTTTCAAGTGTTGCAAAAATGTCTTCCATATATTTTGATCCTGATCATAAAAGTTTTTGTGTGGCATGTAACAAGAATGTCTAAGAGGCATGGCTAACAACTTTTATGGGTGCAAATAGAAGCTAACAACTTTTATGAAGGCAAAAAGCAAAGACTGGTATTTACGAATGTCAGTCAGGTTTTCTGAAGGTAAAGGTGCTCAAAGATGGTGTGCGCGTGGTTACTGGTATTCTTAGCAGGGTCTTCTGCTCTTATATCTTTCACTCTAAGTCACTTTATTGCAGTTTAATCTTTTTAAATCCTTTGGACTTTTTGAGCTTCCGGGAGATACTCTGGATTGTTGGAATCACTGATTTCATTCCGAAATTCCTCTTCATAGGTTTTAAGTGCCTAATTTGATTGGCGCCTTTTATCAAATCCAAGGGTAACTGGCATGTGCTTTTAGAAGAATTATGTCAGCATTATTAGACTTTTGTTCCCATGCCAGTTTGGTTTGTTACCTTATTGGCCATGGGAGTTTAGTAATGTAACTCAGTGGAGTGTGGGATATTAGCGGCTTTACTCTTCATCATTTAAAATTTTTGGCTCTTTTTGGAAATCAGAACTTTTAGATAGGTTTTGTAAATATTTTCTGTATGATCAAGTTATGGAGTTGCTGCCAGCAAGAGACACTGTTCAGATGTGGATAATATTTTTTCCAGTATGTAAAGAGGCATTTCAAAAACTTATTCTTCTCATCTGTCAGCATATATTTTGTGAAGAGTCCTGGACTTCATGATCTAACAGAGAAAATGTGTCTACAGTGCAGAACTGTGATTCAGTAGTTATAAACAAATGGAAAGATGAAACTATGTACTTCATTATACTTTCTAGTATATTACGTCCTGTAAACCACTTATCGCTAATTTTACTTGGTTACAGTGACCATTGTAAAGGCATTAAAATGGATTTTTATTCCTATAAGGTGTTTTCATCAAAGTTTTTAGACTACTGTAATAAGGTTTACGTGTGTAGCACAATTTTTAAAAGATTCAACAATGTTAAAAAAATAATGTTTAACCTAATGTGTTTGTCAACGGCATTTATTCTATTTTAATTGTTTGATAGATGATTGTGGTGTTATATATGTGTATTTATGTCTTGCCCAAGACAGCAACTGGATAATTAGAACTAGTAGTGTTAAAGGAACTCAGGCTATTTTTTCCTGATCTTGTTTTCAGAGTAAAGAATATTTTTTATAATATTTTACAATACATGTTATCTGCAAGTAGAATTTTTTTGGCATCGACTTTTTTAATTCTCATCTCACAAATTTTTAAGATTTTCATAAATTTGTATTTTTAAATGAAAGTTTTAAAATGCTATCTTTTAAACGCAACAGATTTTTCTAAGTGAAGATTAATTTACTGAGATGATGTATTTTAACATTGTATTATTATCTGTAGCATTATTAGCAATCAAGTGAAATAAATAACTTCAATAAAAAAACAATTTAAAGGCTTCCATTGCACTTTAGATAAAATCTAAAATTCTTTTCATTTTCTACAAAGACTTCATAATTTCCCTCATGCCCATCGCCCCTGCCTCATCTTAGATGATTCTGCTCTAATTTAACCACACGGGCTTCTTCCAGTTTGTCAGAGGCTCTGCACTTCCGCCCCCGGGCGCCTGCACTGGCTGTGTCCCAGCCTGGAATATTTCCTCCCTTTCCGACCCGGGCTTTCTTCTCCCATTTGTCCCTCAGTCTCAGCTTAAGTATCATTTCTTCAGAAAGCCTTTCCTGATTCTTCTTCTCTTCAGTCTGAGTTCATCCCCTCTTTTACTGTCTCTTGTTATGCCTTTACTTCTTCAGTTTATAACTACGCACCTCGCCCATATTTATGGTTTAACATCTTTATGTGGGGGGAGTGTGAGTGTGTAGTATCTGACCCCTCAGTGGACCACAGGCTCTCCGAAGGGAGAGGCCTCAACTATTTTGTTCATCATTTTATATCGAGAACCTGCCACAGTGCATAGCACAGTGTAGACTGTCAATAAATATTTGTTGAATGAATGAAGATAAGATTCTGAAAAATATAGTAAAAACCAGTTTTTAAAGTCTTTGCTTTTTGATCCCTTTTTATGCTTTATAGTTTTCAATCTATATGTAATAAATATTTCTGTTTGTGATCTTTTGGGAAGGAATAAGTAGTAATAATAATTACTAAATATTTACTATACTGGAGTAAACAATGCTCTTTTATACATTTTGCTTTATTTTGGAATAATATC